TGACAGGCGGGGGGCGGGGGGGGGACAGGAGCCAGTGTCCTCAGAAGTGCTGGGGAGGGGGTGAGGGTGCGGACTAGACTTCTTTTGTACCAACTTCCCACCTTCTCCCAACTTCCTCCCCTGCCCCCCACCTCGGGGGGCTGGCTGGGCCTGGACAGAGGTAGAGAGAGGGCTGGGGTCACCCTGAGATTCAAAAAGCCAATGCCCGGAGAGGCGGAGGGTCAGGGCAGTGGACACGGTCTGTCCAGCCTGGGCACCTGGTGAGGTCTTGTCCCCCACACACAATGCTGGAGAGCGGGCGGTTTTCCCTGGGCATTCCCACAGCCTCCCCTCTCCAATCCTCCCCCTCGCTGCCTCCCCTGGCGCACCTGAGTGAGAACTTTGGACAAGTTGGACGCGAAGGACGGACGGACGGACGGACGGATGGAACGAGTCAAGCTGGGACACCTGGCCGGGTCGAGTAGGAGGCTGGGTGATCGGAGGTGCCCAGACCCAGGAACCGTTTGGGGGTCCGTTTGGGGGGGAGGGTGAGAATGGCAGGCGACACCTGCCGCTCCCTCCTCCCCACCCCCACCCCACCCCACCCCCGGGCTCCCAGGGGCCGGCGCCGGGGGGGGGGGCGGGCTTAGGCCTCACGCTTCGGAGTTTAGTCGGCGAAACGGCTCGGCGCCCCCGGCTCAGAGCGATTGACTGTCTCGCGTCCTCCAGGGACGAATTAATGGAGAACGATCAGTTAATTAACAAACCCTCATTCGGGCTTTTACCTTGCTCTTCGCGGAGGCCCCAGCCAGGGCTCGGCGCCGCGCGGAGGGGGGCGGCGGGGGTGGGAAAAGGGGGGGACATGAATTCTGGAGTCTATCCACGGCCCCCGCTCCCCGTGGAACCCGGCCCGGCCCGAGAGCCCCGCCGTGGTCCCGCTCGGACTCAGCCGTCGCTCGGTGTGTGTATGTGGGGGGTGGTTTCCCAGTCAACTCCGAGACAGCCAGGCCAGGGGTTCGGGCCCCCCCACCTCTGTTTGTGGGCGGTGTGTGTGATGCACACGCGCCCACCCTCCTGCCCAAGGGTTTAGACGCAAAACTCACTTAGAGGAACACAAGAAAATATCACCAAGCTCCAGTGATCGCGGCTCTGCGGGTTCTCCCCGGGGCCCGGGCACCGGGTCTGCTCCCTCCCTCCCTTCCCTCCCTACCCAGCGCGGGTTTCAGCGCCTCGACCCGCAGCTTCCCGGGGATAGACCGTGAGCACGGGGGGCGGGGGGGAGAACGGAGATCGTCGCGGGTTCAGCTAAACAGTGACCGGCCAACACCCCCCACCTCGTTCCGACACTCCAGTCCCCCGCTGGGGAACAGCCCCAGCCCGCTGGAAGGGGGCGAGGGGGGGGCGGCGATCCTAAGCGCAGTGGCGGGTACGCTTCGTCGGGGTCTTCCTAACCTCTCCGGGGTTCGATCGCAAAGCCACGCACGGACTCTGCGCCCCAACGTCCCTTCCAGGTTGGAGGCTTATCTTCCGGCCTCCGGGTGTGCGACTCTCCAGCCGCGCTCCGGAGCGCAAACACCACCCAGAGAAGAAACTCGGGGCTCCCCCAAAGCCCGCGGCGCACGGAGCCCTGGGGGAGGCGGCCGGCGGGGAGGGGTGTGTGTGTGAGTGTGTGGGAATGGATCTCCACCCCTCTGCAGGAAAAGGGATTCCGTTTCCCCTTTTTTTGGGGGGGTTCCTGTGTCCCCCACCTCCAAATCTGGCTCAGGGTGGTGGAGGGGGGCGGCGGCGGGAGGGGAGGAAGCCCCCCGCTCGCTCTCACCTGCCAAGCGGAGCGCGGACATGCGCTGGAACTCGGGCTCCTGCAGCCATTTCCACATTCTCCGGAAGGTCTCCCGGCCGGATTTGAGTTTGCTCCAGGGTTTGGGGTTGCGCAGCAGGTCCGAGAGGGTCCCCTGGGAGCGGCAGAGCACCCTCTGCGCGAAGATGGCCTGTGGGATGCTGTAGCGCTTGAGCTCGGTGGTGATACGCTGCGCTACCTCTTTGGTATTGATCTCTTCCATCTGCCCTGAATTACTTCCATTGCTGACCTGCGCGCCGGTCACCGAAGGATTGGGTTCCCGGGCGGTGGCCAGGAGCTGTCCGTGGCCCTGGGCGTTCAGGTGGGCATGGGGATGGTGCGGTGGAAGGCCGTTGATGGGCACCATGCCCGCCGAGGTGGGCGTGAGGTGCTGTTCCCCGTGGCGACCAAGCATAGCCGGGTGGTGGGCTTCGAAACCATTCGGGGTGAGCATCTTGTCGGTGGGCATGGCGGCGCCCGGGTGGGCGTAGTGGGGAAGCCCTTGTTGGGAATTGTGGAGGCCGCCTAGCCCCGAGCCGGACAGGGGCGAGAGGCTCTGGCCCATGGTAGTCACGTCCTTGTGGTAGGGGTTATACAGGTTATTCATGGAAGCCAGTCCGCGCTCGTCCCGCATGAGGGTGAAGCTCCCGCTCACGTTGCCCGCCAGCCGCTGGTGGTGGTGCGGGTGGTGGTGGTGATGGTGGTGGTGATGGTGGTGGGGGAACTTGTCCGATACGGTGGAGATGGGGGGCAGCGGCTGCAGGGGGGTTAACGTGGTGTAGGTGGTGGGCATGCTCATACCTGGGGGCGTCTCACAGGCCATGGTCATCGTGGGGTGCAGGGGGCCGGCCAGGCTGTGATCGGGGGCTCGGTGGTGGTGGTGATGGTGGTAGTCGCC